GGAAACACTGAAACCGAATCAGGGGAAGACTGAGTGGGTAGCTTGGAGCCCTTAAGCAAGTGGGGAAATCTCTCTTGTATCACTCAGCGAGAAAGGAGGGGGTGGAGAAAGGGAGGGAGAGAGGGAAGAAGAGAGGGAGAGAAGGAGGGAGGGAGAGAGGGAGAGAAGGAGGGAGGGAGAGAGGGAGAGAGAGAGAGAGAGAGAAAGAGAGAAAGAGAGAGAAAGAGAGAGAAAGAGAGAGAAAGAGAGAGAGAGAGAGAGAGAGAGAGAGAGAGAGAGAGAGAGAGAGAGAGAGAAGAGGGAGAGAGTGAGAGAAGGGGGGGAGAGTGACAGAGAGAGAGAAAGAGAGAGAGAGAGAGAAGAGGGAGAGAGTGAGAGAAAGGGGGGGAGTGAAAGAGAGAGAGAGAGAGAGAGTATAGAGGGGGAGAGAGAGAGACAGAGTATAATGGTCTCTAACTCAATGTACAGAAATCCACTATATTATCTGGAGGTCCAGAGGAAAACTCAGTATCTATTTTGAACCTCAGTATCTATTTTGAACAGGGTAGTAATAGCTTGGTAGCTGGAGACTCTTTATTTGCTAAGAGTATAGCACACAGAGATATGAACACACAAGTGACAATCTTGGTATAAGCGCGGTCAGCCTGGCGAGGGGGAGCCCTACCCGCCCTTCAGGCCGTCGGCCAGGCGACCGATCTTGACCAGACAAGCTCTGGCGACTAACTGTTTGACCAGGGTCCTCCTTGAGTATAAGTAGCGATGCCCACCGGTAAGCATGGGGGGGGGGGGGGATGCCAGCTGCAGGAACCGTGTGGGGAACGAGGTGAGGTCACCGGGCAGCTGCTTTCACCCGCTATATTGCTCGGCCACCTACTAACGCCTCGTTAGTTGCCTCAAGGATGACTCAACTCGGCTGGTCTTTACTTGCTAGTTCTCGATCTCGCGTGCGGTGTCCCTGCTGCTTCTTCGTGTCTGCTCGTCCTTGTCGTCATCCTCGTCCTGGTCCCTGGTAAATCCGTCCGTCCTCGACATCCACACGCCCTCGAAGGTGTCGCACAGGTCCTCCTTGACTTCGGATTCGCCCAGACTTCCTCGTAGTCCTCGTCCAGGTCTAACTCGGCGGCTTACTCGCCCAATGCATGTCTCGCAGATCTCGTCCAGGTCCTTCTCGGCTGTGCGCTCGTACAGACATCCTCGTAATCTTCGTCAGGATCTATGGGCGTCCGGCAGGAAGCGTCCTCTTCGGCATCGCAGGGCGGCTGATACCTGCACTGACGAGCTCCTGGAGTTTGACTGGATCTATGGCGCCCAGGCAGGCGGCGCCCGTCCACAGCATCATGGGGCGACTGGTACCTGCAATGGCGAGTTTCTGGTCCTTTGCTGGATCTACTGGCTGCCTGGTAGGCGGCGCCCTTCCACATCCTGGGGCGGCTTAATACTTGCTCTGACGAACATCCTGGTCTCCAGGCTTCTGGTGAGTTTCCGGTGACGTTTTTCCATAGCGTCCGAAGGTGACCGTTTCTGCAGCAGGGCCTCCATCGGTGCCGTGTCAGATATCGTGAACCAGATTATACACATAAGGACCAAGATAGTAAGAAAGACAACAGAGAAGAGGTGTTAAGCGCCACTAGCCGATTTCTGTTTTATAATTTGCAGTTTTTATGGTCGAATTTTCGTTATTTTCGTCTTTTTTTCATTTTGTGTTTTACGTTCAAAGAAGAAAATAGGAGAGGGAGACGGCGGTAGCGTCTGCAAGGACTATCTTGAACTAAATCGTCTCTTGATAGATGCGAGAATAAAATAAGAGAAATGACAGTTGGCAATCTGCAAAGATTTACTTGAACCATTGTTGTAACACAGAAAGAAATGTATGTAAAATACGAAATCACGTACAAGTCAAACATCACGACTGACAAAATCGCGGGCAAAGAAATACGTCATAGTCTTAAGCCTGCAACTACAACAGCAGCAAACCCTATTAATGAAGGTTTCAGTGTATTTTGTTCTGCGTCGGTGTGTGTTCATGTACGTGTATGATTGACCTGACAAAGTAACCAAACAAGGAGATTAAAGTTCATTTTAACAACAATGCGACTAATCATTTATAGACGTAATAAAAAATTATTTCAATTACCACATTGAATTTAACATTAAATGATATGCGACAGAATAACGCATTAATGAATGGTGACGTGAAATTATTCACAAGCTCCTTCACAGGCGAATCTTCTCGGAACTGCCAAGGTAAGTAAGTAAGTCTTAATTGTGCATGCAGACTTCATTGACGGGGGTCTGTACCCAAAATTGCCGTACTTCATGAAGCTAAACAAGCTGGGAAAATCTGTAAATAACCTATTCTATCTGCGGATCTATGATGGGCTCTCATGAAATGCCCTATGGGGATTTATCATGAATCACAAATCGATGGGATTAACCCAAATATGCCAGCGACATTTAAAAGTGTGAGCAGGGTGTGATTAATTAAGTGGATCCTAAATCA